GAAGCTCTTAATATTCCAGAATGGAGGGATGCTATGAGATCCGAAATTGATGCCCTGCACAAGAATGACACTTGGGAAGTGGTTGATTTGCCTGATGGGAAGGATCCAGTTGGCTGTAAGTGGGTCTTTACTATCAAATATCATGCTGATGGCACCCTTGAGAGGTACAAGGCTAGGCTGGTTGCAGAAGGTTATACACAGACATATGGGATTGATTATCTAGAGACCTTTGCCCCTGTTGCCAAGATGACCTCTGTGAGAGTTCTTCTATCTTTGGCTGCTCACTCTGACTAGCCACTTTATCAATTGGATGTAAAGAATGCATTTCTGAATGGAGAATTACATGAGGTTTATATGTCTCTTTCTCTAGGGATGTATGAAATAGATATGAAAGGAAAGGTATGCAAGTTGAAGAGATCTCTTTATGGACTAAAACAGTCCCCTAGAGCATGGTTTGAGAGGTTTAGGGCTGCCCTTGNCCATACAGAGTTTGAGATCAAAGATCTGGGGGAATTGAGATACTTCCTTGGCATAGAAGTTGCTAGATCCAAGGATGGGATTCTTATCTCTCAGATGAAGTATGTTCTTGATTTGCTCTCTGAAACAGGGAAGATGGGTGCTAGACCCGTTGCTACTCCTATTGATATGAATCATAAACTCTCTATTTCAGATGGAATATTGTTAGAAGACAAAGGAGTCTTCCAGAGACTTCTTGGAAAACTTCTTTATCTATGCATTACTCGGCCAGACATTGCATATGCTGTCAGTTGCATCAGCCAATTCATGCATGCTCCCCGAGATACTCATATGGCAGCAGTAGAGCGAATTCTGTGTTATTTGAAGGACTCCCCTGCAAAGGGAATTCTGTTTTCCAAGCATGGCCATATGAAACTTGAAGCCTATACTGATGCTGACTGGGCTAGAAACATTGATGACAGAAGATCTACTTCTGGGTGCTGCAGCTTGGTGGCTGGTAATATTGTCTCTTGGAGAAGCAAGAAACAATTTGTTGTTGCTCGATCTTCAGCAGAAGTAGAATACAGGGCCATGGCACATGGAGTTTCTGAACTATTGTGGTTAAAATCATTGATGGGGGAACTGGGGATTGAGCATGACAAGCCAACGATGTTATACTGTGATAATCAAGCCACCATCAACATTGCTCACAACCCACTACAACATGACAGAACTAAGCATATTGAAGTTGACAGACACTTCATTCGAGAAAGAGTGGCTTCTGGTTAAGTATGTCTTCCTTTCATCACCTCTGAAGGACAGTTAGCAGATTTTCTCACCAAGGGCATTCCCAAGGCGAAACTTCAGCATGATACTGGCAAGCTTGGCATGATTGACATCTATGCTCAGCTTGAGGGGGAGTGTAGAGAAGATGGGCCGAATGGCCCATAGGCTGTTTATCCTTTCTTATCTTTTATATTCTTTGTTGTAGTGGGCCTTATTCTGGGCCTATCCTTTCTATGTTATGTTCTTTTAATTTTTGCCCAACTAAGGGCCTCTTTGTAAATTATTAAAGTTTAACTTAATAAAATAGTGTTAGGGGTGTAAGAGGAGAGATTAAGGTTCGAAACTCTCTTCCTCTGAACCCTTATTGCTGCCATCTTCTTCTTCATCTTCTCTTCCTTAGAAGAATGATTTCTGTTGTTTTATTTCGATTTCTACATCTGTTCTAAACAGTCCTTTATTCTCAAAAGACTGTTTTTCTCTTATTATGTATATTTGTGTACATATTACATGTTTATACTTGTGTATAGTCAAGTATATATGCAATATTTATATAAATATATAATTAATCTGGGCACATATTCATGTACAAGCATGTACAAACACATGTATGCATACTATGTACATACATGTATGCCTTTTCTAATATATATAATATATGTATATATGTATTATGTAATGACACTTATTCATACTTCTTTTACTTTGTTTTTCAATTGGATTATAAAGCTCAAAAGGTAAAGTGCAAAACATACATTAGAAAACTTTTAAACCTGACCCAGTTCAACCTCCAAGTCGGTTTTTAAAATATTGCTTGAAACTTAGAAAAGTTGGTTTAGTGAATGGTACTTGCAGCAATTTCTCTCCCCACTTGTCTTATTTCTTCTTACAAGGGTTCCATCTCTTTTTTGCTTGTTTTGAAGCAAGAATTCTGTTTCCTCCTAATCTCTTGCCCTTTCTTTGTCTTATTTCTTCTTGAAGTGATCTCTCTCTTTGTTGTTTATTTTGGCAGCAAGAGTTTTGTTTCTTCCTAAACTCTTGCTCTTTTGGACAAAATGTTGTCTTCATGCTTCACCATCTCTACTCTTCACCACTAAACACCTAAATTATCTTTTTTTTCACCCTATAGGCCACCACTAGATCTGAAAGTTGTAGGATCCCCTACCTGTACGCCATTAGGGAGAGAGTGTAAAGGAAGCAAACCTTGTCTATTAAGGCAGTGCACTCTTTCAAGTCAATCTTTTGGCAGTGCACTCTTTCAAGTTTACGGATTTGGTAAGGCAGTGCACTCTTTCAAGTTTATGGATGGTTGGCTAGGCATAAATTTATGGATTTGGTAAGGCAGTGCACTCTTTCAAGTCAATCTTTTGGCGGAAAATCTGGTTGGATTGGTTTAGTTGCTTTGTGATAGCAGGTCACATGTAGTTACATGGCTTTTAAACCTCTTTTAGGGTGGAAAGCTTGCTGGTTCTTTATTTGGGATGTTGATCTATGCATTTATATCTAAGGTTCTAGGTAGGCTTCTTTGGGGTGAGTGGTTGGGGATATTTCTATCTTTTTTCCCTTGTGACTTCCTTGCGAATAGAACATGCATACTCTTACTTCTTTTTAATATATACAATACTTGTCAAAAAAAGAATGAAGTGCTAATTAACAGTACCTATATTCTTACTTCACATTTTGATAGCTAGTTTTTCTTGAAGCATCCTAGACAAACTGTTCATATCACCCTTTGATTTCACTTGCTAAACCATCCCCTTAGATTCTTGTAAGAAAATGAATTTATATAAGTGCATAAGCCCGGCTGACCTAGAGCGAACCTGGGTTAGACTAGACCAATTTGGACTGAGTAAGTGCTAATACTTGGACAAACTAAATCAAGCCAAAGCAACAGAAATTTCTAGACTAATAATAAAAAGGACAAAGTCGGTGAAAGAACTTTCCAAAACTTGGGTACACCCAAAACTCTATAAATAGGAACCCCATACTTCAGTTCAATGACTCTTTCGGATTCCCTTTTGACCCTTTTTGGAGATCAAGATATTTGGGGAGAGATCGGCTCTCTCTCTCTCTCTCTCCCATTCTGTCTTTTCTCTCGGATTCCATTTAAATCACCACCTTTCCCTCCCAGCTCCGACTCCTCTCTCTTTGCAATCACTGACATTATTCTCCTGTGTTCTCTTGCCAGAATTCATCACCAGCCACTGTAGCGGCCTGATCTCTCACTAGGGGGTATGTAGGCAACTCCTCCAGGAGCCTGGCTGGATCTCTCTCTTCATCCCCTGTACCTCACGGTTCAGAATCACCATTCTCTTTCGGACTTTTGGAGTCAGATCACCACCACTGCCTTACCATACACCACCAACTTATAATTCTTTCTCCAACTATCAAGTTCTTTATTCTTTTCACCTTCCCAAGTTTTTTCAGATCCTTTTGAGATCCATCTTTTGTGTATTGAAAATTAAATTCAACTCATAGTCTTCATTCATCTGGTGATTTACTGTTTAAAGCCACATTTGACAGAGACTTATAGACTCTAAACCTGAACCTTATAAAAGAAACAAGGGTTCTTTTATCTATTCATCTTAGTATCGTACTCTGCATATATATATGTATATCACTTATTGTATTAGGTTTGATTTGCTCCTTGTCAAAAATTGTGCAAATATTATTTTTTGTAGTAGTTCGTGTTTTGCAAATTATTTTAGGGTTATTATCTGAAACATACCTCCACTTTTCTGATCTTATCTTAAACTTTCCCTGACTTTTCAATATCTCCAAAGACCCCTCCATTAGACATTTGCCATTAAAAACTAACATTGTTTGCAAGATTACAATGATGCCCCTCTATTCAACTCCATTCTTTGAACCAAAATTCCAAAAATATGCCCATCCATTCACTTAAATTGAGCAGTTGGTGGACAAATCAAGCTTTTGGTGGGTTGTGAAATGATTGAACATGAAATAGGCAATAAATAGAGAAGATAAATAAACCAAGGGTATTTTTATCATATGAAAATTAGTTAAATAGTGTAGACTGGTTGATCAAGGTTAGTTTTTCTTAGAAAATAAAAATGGCACATTTGGACCACCTACGTTATGGTCACCAATGTTGACTTGGTCTCCGGAGGTATCAAAAAGTCTAAGTTTGTCTGTTTAAGAGAATGTTTGCAAAAATAATGAATAGGGAGTTTCAGATAATAACCCATTATTTTATTCCTCCTATTGACATCTTTATTTTGTTGGGTGAAGGCATTACTAGAGGAATGGATCTCCACTAGGACATTTGGTGGTAAACGTCTACTCCAGGTAATGAGAATAATGAGTTATTCTGTTAGGAGATAAATGTCTAGCACTGGTGTGGACTATGCTGTAGCTTTTAGAGATATTAACTTCTTCAGAGTGGGTAACATGTCATGCAATCTGAATAAGACACTACGTTGCTGCTTGGCATATAAAGAAATAAGAATGATAACATCATTCAGCTTTGACAGTTAATTGCTACTAACTCACTATAAGGCATTTTCTTTTGTTGTTTATATGAAAATATGGAATAGACAATGAAAATAGTAGGTTGTACCTCCTGATAGTGTTTTCCTCCATTTTGGCTATTTTGATTGGGCAGTTATATCTAAATAGCTTAAGATTATGCATGTAGAGGTTGTTTCATTGAATGGGCTTTACCATTAAGAATTTGCTCTTTTATCATTTTTGCAGGATCAGGATAAGCTCATAAGAAACTTGAAGATAATTCAAGATTATATTTGCTCGTTTGCATCTCAGGTTGGCTCATAATGACTGCTACTCAATGCTAAAAGGGGGCAAAAATTGATTGGTCATACATCCTGTATTTTTAGGATAATTTCAAAAAAAAATGCAAACTATAATTATTACTATATTATATAATGGTTATAATTACAGTACCATGGCAAAGATAGTTCAAGTCACTGTATACTTATCTATAGACCAGTAAGTAGTCTAATGAATCATATTAACTTGATGTAGCTGTAATGATTAGGGGAGCCAAGTAAATTAGGAACCTCATAAATTCGGTAAAACAAAACAATAAAAAAAGCATTAACCAAATGCTAGTTCTAGCTATCTTTGATCTTGGAGCGGTGAACTGAATATGGACCTAATCTCTGGTATTTTAGCATCAAGATGAAGTTTCCACTTTCAGACTCCAAATTATGCTTGTCATCTCAAGGTTTTGCAATTGCACCAAGTCTGAGATTTTTTAATCAAATTCAGTATAGGATTTACATTTTGAAATTGTTGGTTTGATCTTGTTATACACATGAAATGTCTACAAACCAGGGTCTCCATTTGTGCCTATTTTTGCAATTGTAGTATCATGGCATAAATACAAGTGAAGCATTACTTTTCCAATGTTGTAGTTGGGACTTGGAAACTGTTAGAGATGAGCTAAGGCATTGCTGTCATACTTCTCTGTTGTGCTCTTGGAATAGGGTTTGACGGTGGTCAACATTTCGGCAACAACATTCCCACAAACACTTGATTGGCTGCATGGATATCTTCTTCAGGTATAACTTGACATCATGTTATAATTTCTGAAAAGACGGTTATTTTTTTTTTACATTATTACATGTTACACATTACAGGGGGATTAAGGGGTGTTGGACAGAGCAGGGTGCACATGAGGTCCACTTATCTTATCATGGAGAGCCTGCAGTTATGTGGGTTTGATCCCATGCCTCCATATTTGGAGAGATGCCAAGTGACCATCTCAAGTACTGGGTCACTGGTGCAAGTTTCAGTTTGAACAAATCAGATTACCCTATTCAAAGTGGATGATCTCCAGCCAATTTTGTGGGATTCTGTATTTATCATCAAGTTGAGAACAGGACTGGAAGAAAAACAGAATTGGAAGCAAACAAAAACTTATTTAATCATTATATCCCCTCATTTTATGAATGGAAGTTAGATAATATAAAATTAAGAAACAGGGCTTATGTGGCCTTTTCCTCCATGTCCATGGGGTTTTGGGAGTGTATGTTATGGTCCCGCACGTAGGATCCCGTCACGGGTCGGTCCACGGTGCGAAAGCCCCCTGCTTCCCCTTGCGCCTTCCCTTGCTTACAGACCCTATTACGGAAACCMAATGGGTGATTTGTCCAAGAGACCACCCGAACTCTCCTTTGGGGTGATTTGTCCAAGAGACCACCCGAACTCTCCTTTGGGGTGATTTGTCCAAGAGACCACCCGAA